AGGGCCGGAGGGTGCCCGGGGGGCCATGGCGCGAGCGCTCGCCCGCCGAGCTGCCCGCTGAGGCCATGCTGCGACCCCGGCGCCCCGGGCGCCCCGCCGGCGCCCGCCTGCTCCCGCTCCCGCCGCTGCTGCTGCTGCTGCCGCTGCTGCTGCCCGGAGGCCACGCGGGGAACCTGACGGTGGCCGTGGTGCTGCCGCTGGCCAACACCTCGTACCCGTGGTCGTGGGCGCGCGTGGGGCCGGCCGTGGAGCTGGCGCTGGCCCGGGTGAGGGCGCGGCCCGACTGGCTGCCCGGCTGGACGGTGCGCACGGTGCTGGGCAGCAGCGAGAACGCGCGGGGCGTCTGCTCCGACACGGCCGCGCCGCTGGCCGCCGTGGACCTCAAGTGGGAGCACAGCCCCGCCGTGTTCCTGGGCCCCGGCTGCGTGTACGCCGCGGCCCCCGTGGGGCGCTTCACGGCGCACTGGCGGGTGCCGCTGCTGACGGCCGGCGCGCCGGCGCTGGGCTTCGGGGCCAAGGACGAGTACGCGCTGACCACCCGCGCGGGGCCCAGCCACGCCAAGCTTGGGGACCTGGTGGCGGCGCTGCACCGACGGCTGGGCTGGGAGCGCCAGGCGCTCGTGCTCTACGCGTACCGGCCCGGCGACGACCAGCCCTGCTTCTTCGTGGTGGAAGGCCTGTACGTGCGCCTGCGCCACCGCCTCAACGTCACGGTGGACCACCTGGAGTTCGCGGAGGGCGACCCCCAGCACTACTCCCTGCTGCTGCGGACCGTGAGACGCCAAGGCCGAGGTGAGGGGGCGGCTCTTCCTCCCGAGGCTGCACGGCCCGGCTCTCTCCGCGGTTCTGCGCTCCCCGACTCCCCTTCCCCCCCCCCGCCCCCCCCCCACCTGCTTCCCACCGCTGCCTCCGGAGTCGCGGGAGGGGCGGGCGGGGGATGCCCAGTAGGTACCCTGGCCTGGTGCCCATCCCTGGGAGGGATGGGGTTGGGGGGAGAACACCCAGTAGGTCCCCCGGCTTGGTGCCCATCCCTGCTCCCCTCCTCCACTTCTGGTTTCCTCCAGCAGCCTCTCCCCGTCCCACACGCCCTCTCCACCCCCAGTCCCCTCTCTGCTGGCCAGCCTCCCCCTCTCCCTCCCTTGCTGACCCCACCTTCCCCACCTTTGGCTCCACTGTTGCGGCTCTCCCTATCTTTGCTCCTTCTTCCAACCCTGCCCACTGACTCCTCCCAGCTCTCTTCACCTTTCTCTTGGCAGCCGGCAGCCGCTGAGGCCCTAGCAGTCCGGAGTCCACAAATTCCCTGGCCTGAGTTCCCCCTCTGCACTCTGTCGGGATCTAGGCTCCTGTCTCTCTGTCTCTCTCTGACCGCCCCCTTCCTCCCCAGTTATCTACATATGCAGCTCCCCAGATGCCTTCAGAACTCTGATGCTTTTGGCCCTGGAAGCCGGCCTGAGTGGGGAGGACTATGTGTTTTTCCACCTGGACCTCTTTGGACAAAGCCTGCAAGGTGCACACGGTCTTGCTCCCCACAGGCCCTGGGAGAGAGGCGATGGGCAGGATGCCAGTGCCCAGCAGGCCTTTCGGGTGAGGGTCCAGGCTGCAAGCCCAGGCTGTGGGACTCTGTGCTGGTGGCACATAGTTTCTGGGCACTGGGTCCCTCGGGGTCTGAAGGGCTCTAGAAAAAAGGTTCTTGACTGCTCAGGAACTTTGGTGAGGGAGGCCAGGAAGGGTGCGGGGTGTAAAAAGGTCTAGGAAACTTCAGAGCTAGGAGGCTGAAAAGATGAACAAATGGGCTTGAGGTGGGAGGGTGTTCCCATCCCACAGACTGACGGGACTTGAGGAGTCATCCCATTGGCTCCCCTGCTTTGGAGCAGGCAGTGCCTCACAGGTGACATGGAGTCCATCCACTCCGACCTTGGGCTAAGCGGAGATGCACTGGGGAGGTGGCCCAGGGTACTGGGAGGACTGGGTCATCGCCCAGCTCTCCCCTCTCCACTGACCCCTTCCTCAGGCCGCCAAAATCATCACATATAAAGAGCCGGACAACCCTGAGTACTTGCAATTCCTGCAGCAGCTAAAACACTTGGCCCAGGAGAAGTTCAACTTCACCCTGGAGGACGGCCTGGTAAGGGGGGTCCTGGGACCCTGCAGCATGGACTCCACACTGCCCTGCCGGTGCCCAGCCTGTTCTCTCAGCCACCTCCGTATTCCCAGGCCTCCCCTTCTTCCCCCCCCCCCCCCCCCCCACCGTTCTCACCTTCTGATAACTAAGGGGACACTGAAGGGTCGGTCAGCCTCCGGAACTCAGGTCCTCATCAGTAAAATGAGGATGATGTGTCCTGCTCTGTCTGCCTAGAGGGATTCAGAAGTGGAGGTTGACGAGGAGGTGTCTTTTGAGTAGTCAAGTCTCTGTCCACGGAAGGGGGGGGGGTTTCTCCCGTCTCCTCCCAAGGTCCCAGCGCCGCCCAGATCTTCCCACGCTCAGGGTGTCCCCACTGAGCGCCCTTCGTGGATCCCACCCCGGCCAAGCCCCCTTGTTCCTGCAGATGAACACCATCCCAGCGTCCTTCCACGATGGGCTCCTGCTCTACATCCAGGCAGTGACAGAGACTCTGGCACATGGGGGAACCTTCACTGATGGGGAGGCCGTCACTCAGCGGATGTGGAACCGGAGCTTCCAAGGTCAGCGGCTGGAGGTGGCAGGGACAATCCACCTTGGGGCACCCCGAGCAGGAGGCCATGAGAAGCCTCCAGCCTGCCACTGCGGGGGTCACTCACCCATGCCGGCCCTTTCCTGTCTTCTGTAAGGGAAGCTCCACGACTGCCTCGTTGCATGAGGAAGTCCTCCCAAGCGCCCAACCTCAGTCATTCCTGCTGCTGACACGTCCTTCTTGTTGTTGTTATTATTATATGTGACATATTACATATGCGTTTGGAGGGCAAGGCAAAGAAGATCGGGGGGGGGGGGGTGGAGATCAGGTAGGGTGGGTACCCTCCTGAACTTCCACGTCCTCAAAACACAGCCATCTTCCTCCATGCCCAGGGGTGACAGGATACTGGAAAATGGACAGCAATGGGGATCGGGAGACCGACTTCTCCCTCTGGGATATGCATCCTGAGACTGGCACTTTCAGGGTAAGGGTGTGCCCCCAGAAGACAGTGCCATATAGGCAGGAAGGACGTCTTGCCCTCCCTCCTTCCCCCAGGGCATCTGTCGGCTCTGTAGTCACTCCACCACGCTTGCTCGCTCGCTTTTGGAGAGCCTTGGGTAGAAGAGACCCAGCTCTGGTCTGGGGGAGCAACCAGAATGATAGGGACTCACAAGCATTACCCTTGGGGAACCCCGGCTCTGAGGAGGGGGCACAGCCCTAACTTCAGGAAGTCCCACATCTCCTAAGACAGGCAGGCCCCTCTCCCAGCAGAGACAGGCTCACGTGGTGGCCACACAGCTCATTAAATTCAGTCAGGAACAGGAAGGAATTGAGGCCACAAGTGCTGAGGAGCAGATCACTCGGGGAAGACTTCCTGGAGGAGGGGTACGTGGCTTAGGCCTGCGAATGTGGACTGAGAACACTGCCTTTTCCTGTTTCCTATGTGCTTCAGTCCAAGATCATAAACTCCCTGATGTCGAGTCGGGGTTCTACGTGGAGTTTTCTTCATAAAGCCCTTGAGTAATTTTCAGGTTTTTCCACTCGGGTGACCAGGGTATGAGGGGCTTGGTAAACAGTGGACAGCCCAGACACAGGCCGGGGAAGCAGAGACGGGGGAGGCCGCGCAGCTCCACTGGACGGGAAGCGCCGCCCCAGGCCTTGCCCTCCTGCCACTCCTGCCCTCCCGTAGGTGGTTCTGAACTACAATGGGACCTCCCGAGAGCTGGTGGCCGTGCCAGGGCACGAACTAAGCTGGCCCCTGGGCCACCCACCTCCTGACATCCCCAAATGTGGCTTTGACAACGAGGACCCGGCTTGCAACCAAGGTGACTGCCTCTTGCCTTCCAGGCCTCCGTTCTGGAGAGGCTCCTGCTTCAGGAGTCAGATGGGTGCTCCTCTCCCACACTCAGGGCTTTCCGGAGGGACATCTGCCTTTTTCTTCCCTTCACTCACCTTCCTAGTTCACCGAGGGACTATTAGAAGGTTCCTCTTTCCGCTCTCTAACCCAAATCTCCCCTGCTGCAACTTGGACTCTTGTGCAGACCACTTTTCCACACTGGAAGTTCTGGCCGTGGTGGGCAGCCTCTCCCTGCTCAGCATTCTGACCGTCTCCTTCTTCATATACAGGTGAGCTTTGGAGGCGGGTGGGGAGTGAGGCTGGGGGGCCTGGAGAACTAGCTGACGAGGTGGCAGGGACCTGCAGGGAAGCGGGAGAGGTGGCGGAAGGCCGAGGGAGGTGGGGGAGGAGACGAGGCTAAAAAGCCGCAGGGCACAGGGAGGAGAGAAGAGGGGCCGGAGGGGTCGGGAGGGATAAGGCTGTGAGAAGAGCCGAGCAGGCGAGTGGGCTGGTCCACCCTCGCCTCCGGCACACCTGCTGGGGAGCAGCGGTTCCAACCCTGCGGGACTGGGCCCAGGCACTTGAGCAAGGCTGATGTGCACGGAGCGGAGAGGGGAGGTGCAGGACCCCCACCCTGCCTTCTGGTGGGAGGCTGGCCTGCCGCGCAGACGTTAAGGACACAGGCCTGCGAGGAGGGCACTTCCTCGCACGATGTTTCTTTTTGTTCACGTAACAATGCTTTGAAATAAATGTCGAGGTCGCCCATTCCCAAATCAGGACGTGAGGACGTGAGACTCAGAGACACGAAGTGGCTGCCCAAGGTCCCCGGGAGGCAGGCAAAGCCTGGCCCACACCTCCCGTCCGTCGGTCTCTTAGCACACGCTGCGACCCCGGGCTCTGAGGCCCGGGGTCAGGGGTTCAGACGTGGCTCCCCTGTTCACGCCCCAGGAAGATGCAGCTCGAGAGGGACCTGGCCTCAGAGCTGTGGCGGGTGCGCTGGGAGGACGTGCAGCCCAGCAGCCTCGACAGGCACCTCCGGAGTGCAGGCAGCCGGCTGACGCTCAGCGCGGTGAGGAGCCCCCGTGGGGGTGGGCGGGGGGGGGGGGGGGGGGGCCGGGCAGGGGGCCGGGCAGCGCCTGCTGGGCAGTGCCGCCGGCGCGCTTCCGATCCCAGCCCTGCCCTTTCTCGCTGTGTGACCTTGGACAAGTGCTGTTCCCCTCAGAGACTACCTCAGATGGCGGTCACGTGCACAGAGCCTCCTTCGCAGGAGGCTTTCAAAGGCCAAACACGGTAGACGTGAACATACATTTTTAAAAAAATAAACAGGGGCGCCTGGGTGGCGCAGTCAAAGCCTCTAACTCTTGATTTCGGTTCAGGTCACGGACTCACGGTTCGTGCCCTGCGTCAGGCTCTGTGCTGAGAATGTGGAGCCTGCTTGGGATTCTCTCTCTGCCGCGCTCGCTCTCCCTCTCTCTCCCCCTCTCTCTCTCTCTCTCTCTCTCTCTCTCAAAAGTAAACATTTAAAAAAAAAAAATAAAAAATGAGGAAAGGCTCTCATGATGTGGAACGAGAAGCAGGACGGCCGCGAGATCAGGCAGGGCAGTGAAGGCCAGAGCTCAGGCAGCCAGAACGGAGAGCTGAGCCCATGGCAGGGCTCCCAGGCTGACCGGTCCCTCCTGCTCTCTGTCCCTCCAGAGAGGCTCCAATTACGGCTCCCTGCTGACCACAGAGGGCCAGTTCCAAGTGTTTGCCAAAACGGCGTATTATAAGGTGGGCCAGGGGAAAGACTGCGGGTCCTTGGGGTGGGCAGGGCTGCCCTCCAACGGCTCAGGACGGGCCCCAGGGCCACTGTCAGCAGTTGCCGTCACCACCACTGGGCCATCTCACCATGCAGCCTCCATTCCTTGCCCAGGGCAACCTTGTGGCTGTGAAGCGTGTGAACCGTAAGCGCATCGAGCTGACTCGTAAAGTGCTGTTTGAACTGAAGCATGTAAGTGGGGCTGCGAGGCAGTGGCCTAGGAGAGGTCCCAGGGACACAGGAGGTGGGGGGACCCCAGGGTGTCTTAAGAAAGGGATGGGCCCTGCATATTGTGCTAAGAGAGAGGGTTCCAGAGGGGAGAAGAGACTAGTAGAGGAAGCCTAGAGGAGGTTCCTTGAGGGGCTGTGCTCGATGCCCCTGGTGGGTGGAGGGATCAGGAGGCAGAGTGAGCCGGAGGAGGTACCGCAGGGGGAGTCACCGGACTCCTAGAGTGTCTGCAGAGAGTGAACGGGCACTGAGAACACTGAGAGGCCCCTGAGGGTGGAGGGCCACTTGGTGAGGAGGGACGTCTCTGCCAGGCTCCTGATGCTGGCTTCCCCCCGCAGATGCGGGATGTACAGAACGAACACCTGACCAGGTTTGTGGGTGCCTGCACTGACCCCCCCAACATCTGTATCCTCACGGAGTACTGTCCCCGTGGGAGTTTGCAGGTGAGGGGACAAGAGGAGGGGGGTCAGGAGATGTGGGCCTAGCCCTGGTTCTGTTCCCCGCTGCCGTGTGACCCCCAGGCAAACCTCCTCCTTTCTGCCCTTTATCTGCCCCATCTGTAAACGGGGAGGGGGGCACTAGAGTGAATCCAAGTTTTTGTCTTTTTGTGCCTGGGCCGTCTTTGTGTGACTGGGCCCCTGCACCCCTCCTGGGGTCTGCCGGGTGCGTGCCTCACTCTTATTGCCCAGCAGGACATTCTGGAGAATGAGAGCATCACCTTGGACTGGATGTTCCGATACTCTCTTACCAATGACATCGTCAAGGTAAGCCCGGAATCCCCCATGCGATGTGTGGGGAGGGGCCAGGCAAGCGTCTCCCCTGGCCCTGGTTGTAGGCCTCACTTACACCGAAGACCTCGGCCTCCGCAAATTTCCAGGGTATGCTGTTCCTGCACAATGGGGCCATTTGCTCTCATGGCAACCTCAAGTCTTCCAACTGTGTGGTGGACGGGCGCTTCGTGCTCAAGATCACTGACTTCGGGCTGGAGAGCTTCAGGGACCCGGAACCAGAGCAAGGCCACACCCTCTATGCCAGTGAGCCCACACTCTGCCCCCTAAGACCTGCCCCCCTCCAAGCACAGCCCGGCGGGGGCAACTGATGCCAGGCCTCTGAAGGGCTTGGCATGCCATTCTGGATTCCTGCTTTGGCTCATTCGCCAGTGGAAAGGGGAGCCCGACGCAGTGGTCTGGAGGCTGTGTCTTTGTAGCATTCGGCCTGATGGCCGCACACTGCTCCAGCCACGTCTTCTAGGACCTTGTTCCCCCCCCCTCCCCGACACACCCCCACCCCTCAGCTTTAGGGCCCTTCGCCCGGTCACTCCTGACCTCTAACCTGCAGAAAAGTTGTGGACAGCCCCTGAGCTCCTGCGAATGGCCTCACCCCCTGCCCGGGGCTCCCAGGCAGGTGATGTGTACAGCTTTGGAATCATCCTTCAGGAGATTGCCCTGAGGAGTGGCGTCTTCCATGTGGAGGGTTTGGACCTTAGCCCCAAAGGTGAGAGGACCATGGAGTCCCCTAGCCCTGCCACAGCTGCACCTGAGCCCGGCCCCAGGGTGAGGGACCCCTGCAAACACCACCACACCTGCCTCCTGGAAGGTTCTGTTGCTGCTAGTGACTCCGCTGTCTGCCTGCCCGCCTGCCCCGGGGTCCCAGCCTGCTCCTGGACCTCCCCTCTGTGTCTCTCACTAGCCCTGGGCTGGCCCCAGCCCTCAGCCCCTCCTGCCTCACCACAGAGATCGTGGAGCGCGTGACTCGGGGTGAGCAGCCCCCCTTCCGGCCCTCCCTGGCCCTGCAGAGTCACCTGGAGGAGCTGGGGCAGCTGATGCAGAGGTGCTGGGCTGAGGAGCCGCAGGAACGGCCCCCCTTCCAGCAGATTCGCCTGATGCTGCGCAAGTTCAACAGGTTGCTGGTGTTTGTGTGTCCCCCTTGCCCAACAGCTACCCTGTGCCCCACACTTAAGTCTTTTCTCCCAGCAGTGGCAAGGGACCCCACTGCGGCCTGTCGGCCCCTCCTCAGTGGTACAGAGCAGAGGGGAGCACATACTCTTGTCCTCCAACCCAGCCCCGGGGGCCATCTGTTGCACTGTGCCCCACAGACCCCCCACACACCCCTCTGCCAGCCCGTGTGCCCACACTCTGTCCTCAATTGATCCCTGTTCACCTGTTTCTAACTTGCTTCTGTTCAACAAAGATGAACGAAGTAGCCAGTATCTCTGGAGCTTCCGGACTCTGGGGTCTCAGAGATGAATGGAACTTTCTTCCTACCCTTTCCCCTGCCACGCCCACCCTGCCATGCTCCCCAGGCCTGGCCTTCTCCGCTGCCCTGCACAGGGGCTGACATGGCAGCCTGGGTCTGGTGAGCTGGGGAGGGCGCTCTGGGCAGCTCTCTCACCGCCTCTGCCCTGCTCCCGGGGCCTCAGGGAGCACAGCAGCAACATCCTGGACAACTTGCTGTCCCGCATGGAGCAGTATGCCAACAACCTAGAGGAGCTGGTGGAGGACAGGACCCAGGCCTACCTGGAGGAGAAGCGCAAGGCCGAGGCCCTGCTCTACCAGATTCTGCCCCAGTGAGTGCCCACGTGTGGTGACCCTCTGCCACCCTGTCCCAGCCCCACCTCCTGCGCTTATCCTATACCTGCCCCTGACCCCACAGCTCAGTGGCTGAGCAGCTCAAGCGTGGGGAGACGGTCCAGGCTGAAGCCTTCGACAGTGTGACCATCTACTTCAGCGACATTGTGGGCTTCACGGCCCTGTCGGCAGAGAGCACGCCTATGCAGGTCAGTGCGGCACGGCCACAGGTGAGGGCCAGGCAGGCTGTGCTTGGCCAGCCTTTCTGTCCCATCAGGACCGCCTTCCGGTCCCATTTTTCCCACTTGAGCCCAGATGGGCTCCCTGACTCCATACCCGTCTTGGCTTCTCTTCCCTTCCAGGTGGTGACCCTGCTCAATGATCTGTACACCTGCTTTGATGCCGTCATAGACAACTTTGATGTGTACAAGGTGAGGGTGGGAGCAGGGATGGAAGGGGACAGAAAGATGGTGATGGGCAGGGTCAGAGAAGGGTGACAGGCAGAATGACATAGAGCCTCAGGAGAGGAGACCATGGGACATGGGCAGAGACTGTTACCCGGAGACCCAGGGACAGGCAGGGAAAGGACGCCACAGATGAGGTTACCAAACACATGTGGGGCGGCACAGGGAGGAGAAATTTCCGGTGTTAATGCCCTGCATCCTCTGGTGGGCCCGGCAGGTGGAGACCATTGGCGATGCCTACATGGTCGTGTCGGGGCTCCCCGTGCGGAATGGGCTGCTTCACGCCCGCGAGGTGGCCCGCATGGCCCTGGCGCTTCTGGATGCTGTGCGCTCCTTCCGCATCCGCCACCGGCCCCAGGAGGAGCTGCGCTTGCGAATCGGTGTCCACACAGGTGAGGGAGACAGATGGACAGACAGACAGACAGACACACACACACACACACACACACACACACACCTGGATTCCCAGGGTCCTCGGGTCCACCACTTGACTCTCATGGAACACCCCTCCCCACCCCCTCCAGGACCCGTGTGCGCCGGCGTAGTAGGGCTGAAGATGCCTCGCTACTGCCTCTTCGGAGACACAGTCAACACCGCCTCCAGGATGGAGTCTAACGGGGAAGGTAAGGTGGCTGGGCTGCTCGCAGTGGCTGGAGGGACAGACAGGCTTCAGCGAGGACGGCCCCACCGGCGGCTCACCCCCAGCCAGGGTACATCACCTCCAATCCATCAGAGATCCGCGCCCCCCCCCCCATCCAAAAGTCTTTCCAGGCAGATGTTGGACTGTTGCCCTGGTCCCCACCCTCAGGGCCCCTCTGCTCCCTCTTGCATGTGGCAGAGGGCTAGGTGTAAGTCTCTGCTCCACCATCCACACAACTGTGGGTCGATTTGCCACACTTCCTGGAGCCTCAGTTTTCCTCACCTGTGAGAGAATAAGACGCGCACCTTAGAAGAGTTATGTGTGAAAACCATATGCCATGACGAGGACGCGAGTCATTCAACTTTTCTGAGCTTCAGCTGTTTATCTCTAAAACAATACCCATCTCAGGCTCGTGAGAAACCTAGCACGGGCCGCGGAGCACAGTAGGTACCTAGGAAAAGCTTGCTGCCCTCTCCTCCTGCCCGGAGTCTTGCGTCCGGCTCCTCTTCTACCCTCCTGCTGTGTGCAATACAATTCAATTCAGTAAACATGCACTGAATGCCTGCTAAGTGCCAGGCCCTGGGGTACGAAGACCACTCAGACCCCGTGTCAGCTGGCGGGGCCGGGGGGGAAGTCCCTGGAGACCCCATCCAAGCCTCATGGCAGGAGATGGGCTACTTTTCAGCCCAGAGGGTCTCTGGCTCAGCAGATACTCCCTGGTCACTGTGTCTGGGGCAGTCAGAGCCGGAGGAAGGGTCTCACTGAGGTCCTGTCTTCAAGGAACACATTCTCAGAAATGTTTCTTTTTTTTTTTTAATGATTTTTTTTTTTAAGGTTTATTTATTTTTGAGACAGAGGAAGACAGAGCATGAACGGGGGAAGGTCAGAGAGAGGGAGACACAGAATCTGAAACAGGCTCCAGGCTCTGAGCAGTCAGCACAGAGCCCGATGCGGGGCTCGAACTCACGGACCGTGAGATCGTGACCTGAGCCAAAGTCGGCCGCTAAACCGACTGAGCCACCCAGGTGCCCCTCTCAGAAATGTTTCAACAGCAAAACGAGGCCGCTCAGATGTATCCCCCAGGAGTGGTGGGAGCGGCTATGGACAGAGGCGTGGGGGGTACCAGGTCGGGAGTCAGAGCCTGGGTCTGACCCCCACAGTTTGGGCCTCAATTCCCTCCTTCACAAGATGAGCGTTGAAGTAAACGAGAGTGACAGCAACCACTGCCAGGAATGCTTCCTGCGTGCCAGACTCTGCTGAGATAGTCGGTTAGCGGTTCGTGTAGTCCTCATAACAGGGCCTTGACACGGATACTGTCACCATCAGCATTTGTTGGACTAGGAAAATGAGGCACAGAGAGTTTACATTACTTCTCTAAGCAACTGTCCCCGCTGGGATTCACTAGACAGAGCAGGACCCAAAGTCTGAGCCCCTAACCACCGTGCTACACTGTCTGTCTGGAGCCTGGTAACACGCTAGAATGCTATCTACTGGAACTTTCTTTCTATAATCCGGGTTGTCCATCACAGTAGTCTCTGCCACAGGATGCTATTGATCGCTTGAAATGTGCTCGTGCAAATGAAGCCCTGGATTTTTAACTGTATTTAGTTTTAATTAACTTAAATGTGAATGGCCACCGGTGACTAGTGGCTACGGTGTTGGGCAACGCAGCCGTCAAATTCTGAGGGAGAGGCCAGAATGGCCAGACTCCGCGTGCAGGGGTGGGGCTCTGAAGGAGGAGGCTTCCTGAGAAAGAATGGAGTCCTGCAGCTCCCAGTCTCCCCGCTCCCATTGCTTCCACCCCCCACCCTCCCTTGTCCTTCCCAGCCCTGAAGATCCACTTGTCTTCTGAGACCAAGGCTGTCCTGGAAGAGTTTGGTGGTTTCGAGCTGGAGCTTCGAGGGGACGTAGAAATGAAGGTAGAGAGGAAAGCCCCTACCCTCACCATCCCTTGTGGACCAGAGGGTGCCTCCCCAGACCCCTTCTCAAGCAGCCAAGCCCACTCCCATCCCGAAGCCTTTCCTCTGATTTGGGGAAGTGGGTCAGTGCGCTGCTCCCTACGCCAGCCTCCTCTTCTCTCTCCCTCCAGGGCAAAGGCAAAGTGCGGACCTACTGGCTCCTAGGGGAGCGGGGCGGTAGCACTCGAGGCTGACCTGCCCCCCCTCACCTTGGCCTTCTACACCCCCTTCCCTGCGCCAGAGGCAACAGAGAGGTTCCAGGTCCTGGCCTCACTCACAGCAGCCCCACCACTGCCAAAAGGATCGGAGAAGTAGTTTGAACAACCCAAACGTGCTAACCCCAGTGGAGACACCAGATGTGACCTCTGGTGGAGGACTGGTGTTGGGGAGGACTCAGAGTTCATGGGACTGGACCAAAGCACACAGTCATATCCAGTGGCACATGCGGACAAGTGTACCCACTCTCCACCCGGACTCAAGCCAGGCTAGAGTGTGGACTCCACTTTGAGACACTGTGACTTCTATGGGGAGGGGGAAGAGCCACTTTAGAGGTAACAGGAAAGGGGACTACAGGTGAATCTAGGGGGTGAGGGGAGTCCACGTCTAGGCCCAACCCACATGGGCCACAAACACCCCCCCATGCCCCCCCCAGCACTGAATACAGTGCACAGGGGAAGGGCAGCCCTGTATGCCTTGTTTCTCCTGTGAGCAGAGACCATGAACATCTTTATTCCAGTGAATGTCTCTGGAAGGACAGCGGGTGGCCAGAAAACACAGCCGTGCTCCCTGCCCTCTGTTCCACATAAGATGCTTCCTGAGCTGGGGAGTGCAGTGTCTGAAATCAGCTTCAGTTTCCTCAGCCAGGATCTACGTGACAGCCTGTGAATTACCCCAGCAGTGCTGACGCTCTTGGTCTAAGGACCTGTTTACACCCTTAAGAATTATTGAGGGCCCCAAAGAGCTTTTGTTTATGTGGATTAAATCTATCCATATATATAGCATATTAGAAATTAAAACAAGTCCTTATTAACTCATTTAAATAATAAACCAATCATATGTCTATATATTTCAGTGTCTTATCAAGGACATTCTTAAGAGAAACTGGGTTTTTAGTTTTTATTTTTTTACTGCCAATGTATGGTGATGAGGAACAGTGACTCAGTGCCACCGCCTTGGTTTGTGCAAAGACACCAGCAAGTTAACCCTCGTGGCCTTCCTACTATCAATATACCTGTCAAGTCACGGAGGCAAATGGTGTATTAGCCTGATTATGCAGATTGTTTTGAACTCATCCATCCCCTGAAAGGGTCCTGTGGACCACAGCAGATTGGGAACGGCTACATGACCCAGTGTTGGGCATACAGTAGAAATACAGTGAGTGCGGGGACTCCAAGGAGAGGCTTGGGAGCCAGGAAGGAAGGATGCATCCTCTCTTACCTCAGTTGAGATTTGGGGACTGTCCACCCGCCCCTCCACTCCCATGCCAGTGTAGACAAATGTGAATGGTAGTGTGCAAAGCGAGCCTCAGCTGGCCCTGCTCCAGCCGCGCCCCCCCCCCCCAGCCCTTCCTGAGCAGGCGGGCAGGAATGCGAACGAACGCGGGGGAGAGGTGGCCGAAGCTTCGCCTCCCCCGCGGGGAAGGAAAGTGCCAGACATTGCTTCAGTGCCATCCATCAGGCGCAGACAGGCCCCTCCTCCGAGCTCCCAGAGCCTCTTCCCGGAGTCCACGCCCCGCGGGACCTGGAGGGCGGGCGGGCGGGCGGGCTGTGTTCAGGGCAGCGGCGGTCCGGGGTGAGGAAGGAGCCAGCGCCGTCCCCCCACCTCGCCTGGTGCGGTGACTCCCCTCGAGGTTCCGCGCCCCCGGCCCGCCGCTTGAGGCGCAGCCGATCGGGTTCTCCGCTAGCGCGAGCTCAGCCCCCAGCCCCCCCCCCCCCCCCCCCCCCCCCCCGGTGCCCCGGTAACTACGCACGCCGGCCGGGCCGGTTGCCCCGGTAACCACGCACGCCCGGCCGAGCTGCTGGCTGCCGGGAGGGGAGCGGAGGGACGGCCGCGGGCGGCGAACGGGGGCGGGGACGTGAGAGACCCGGGCTCCGGGGGGAGACTGGGAGCGCTGGACGCCCGAGGACTCCGTCCAGAGACACAATTGCAGGAAGTGGCCGGTCAGATCCTTCCGGGGCAGCCTGGCTCCACCGCGCGGGAGCTCGAGGGGAGGGGGCTGCGGCGGGAGAGCGGGGGGGGGGGGGGGAGGGGGGACGCGGGGACAGGCCCAGGCCGCCGGGGACTCCTGCAGCTCGAGAACTTTCCCTGCGACCGAGGAGACTTCCTTCTGGGGGAAGGCCCTGCCGCCGGAAGACCTGGGAAAGCCATTGCTGAGGGGAGGGGTCCTCGGGGATCGGGGACCTCCGCCCACAGGAGGGGCGGTTTCCCGGGCTGTCCTGCGGAGCCGTCTGGAGGGGTGCGGGGCTGCAGGCTTTCCCTGGAGTACGATAAGGGAGAAAACAACAGTCATCGTTGGCGCTCAGCGGCGCCTGGCGGATGACAAGGGCTCGCACAGGCATGAGCTCACCGGCCACGTGACTCCTGGGAAGGGGTGGGGTAGGAGGGCCCCGGCCGAGGTCCAGCTGTGGGGCAGGAGGGAACCCCAGCCCGAGCAGTACCGCAGAAGACACTTCCCCTCTGCAACCCCTCTCTTCTGTGTCAGAGAACTTGGGTAATGCATTTGTCATAGCAGTACTTCCGGTAATAATCTAATTATGTTTAATGATTTATACCTTTCAGGACGATTTGTGGAATCTAATTAGCAGCGGAGGTCAGTTTGCAACCTGAAAGTCTTTTTTATTTTTAAGTCATTTCTTAATTAAATTTCAAGAGTTGTAAGATTATAACAATAAATAATTAACGGTAAAAAAAAAAAAAAGTACCTAATTCCTTGCACGGAGGTATTCATCTTATTTGAGTTGGAACCAAATTAAGATTCCAGGCGAGGTGTTTGCCACCAAGATGAAGGGTTGGGATACTGATGAATTTGGTGTTGCACAAGGCAGAAGCCAGGATGCTTTCGAGGAGAATGAGGCTACAGGAAGAGGGGAGATGGGAGGCAGAAACCTGCTTGACTTGTAGTACAAACCCAAGGTTTAGTGAGATGGTCCAGATAGGAAGAAGCCCCACTATCCAGTTCCCTATCACACACATTGCACCAATTGTCGGTGGGCTGGTTGCCCTTTAAGGACCTTTCCAGGGCGCCTGGGTGGTTCAATCGGTTGATCGTGGGACTCCTGATTCTGACTCAGGTCAAGATCCCTGGTTCTTGAGATCGAGCCCTGGGTCGAGCTCTGTGCTGAGCGTGGAGGCTGTCTCTCTGTCTCTGTCTCTGTCTCTGTCTCTGTCTCCCTCTCTCTCCCCTGCCCCCTGCTCGTGCAAGCACTCGTGCACATGCAAGCGCATGCGTGCTCTCGCTCTCCCTCAAAACAAAACAAAACAAAACAAAACAAAACAAAACAAAACAAAACCTTCCCACAGCAGATTCCAGAGTTGTGTACACCTGTCAATCACTGTGGCACCCCTTCTGGATTTGATGCAACTATCCAACTATCCCACTATTACTCTGTGCCTTTGACTTTTTTTTTTAAGGTTTTGTGGGGTTTTTTAAATGTTCATTTATTTATTTATGAGAGGGGGGAGGGGCAGAGAGAGAGGGACAGACGCTCCGAAGCAGGCTCTGCGCTGTCAGCACAGAGCCCAACTCGGGGTTTGATCTCATGAACCCTGAGATCACCACCTGAGCTGAAGTAGGCCGCTACTCCATTGAGCCACCCAGGCGCTCCTGCCTTTGGCTTTCTTTTGTAAAAAAAATTTTTAATGTTTATTTTTGAGAGAGAGACAGAGCACAAGTGGGGGAGGGGCAGAGAGAGGAGACACAGAATCCGAACCAGGCTCCAGGCTGTCAGCACAGAGCCCCACGCGGGGCTGGAACTCAGGAACCTAGAGATCATGACCTGAGCTGAAGTGTGCTGCTTACTCCATTGAACTACCCAGGTGCCCCACCTGCCTTTGACTTTAAAATGTGGACTGCATACCAGCACTCCTTGGCTGCTATGTCCTATGATCAGGTCAGCTTTCTTGTCTCAGTCAGCCAAAGTCCCAGCAGGCCAGAACCAAGCCAAAAGACCACAAAGATCTCAGGATTCAGAACTGGAACAACTTCAAACCTCTATCAAGTGAGAGGCAGTGTGATGTTAGTTAAGAGGCTCCCTCTAGAGATAGCTGGCCTGGGTTCAAATCCCAGCTCTGCCCCTCGTAATCCATGGAACCTCAGGCAAAACCCTCAAAATGGGAATGATCATAAGACCTGCCTCATGGGGGTTGCTTTGAGGATTACGAGTTAATTCCTCCCATTACATGCTTAGAACACCTACTGGCTGGTGATAGAAACTAGTTAAGTGTTTGCGAGTGTTATGAAGAGTCTCCGTTATGCGAACCATACTGCTAGGATGTAAGGAGTTCTTGATGTCCAGAGAACATTTGGAAGTGAGATGCAGGACATGATTAGACCCCTCGATGAGAGGTTATAGTGAGATCTACAAATGTGAGAGTTAGAAGAAAAAGTAGAGGTCATGTAGTCCAACTGCCTATCCTGGGCCAACAGCCTTCTTAAAATATCTGGGTTTTCTTTGATGTTCTGTCAGAAAACTTTCAAGGACTTGGAACTAAGACCATTCTATTTTTGCACAACTGTACGAATAATCTTACTGATATAAGAAGATGGATATTTCAATTATCAAAATTTCTTTTGAAGGAATCTTTTTTTTTTTTTTTTTTAATGGATATAGGGGCTTGCCCCTTCAACTGCCATCTCAGGAGGATACATCTTGTTGGACTGGGAAATCCTTTGTTTTACTAAGCTTGGAGCTGAGTTTTTATATAAATTGTGAGGCTCAGGATGAACAAAATCCACCTGTATGGTAGTACAGAGAAGAAGCAAGGGCGGCAGTATTCCAGTAGCTGAACTGGGACTTTGGAGACCACATATATCTAATAGAGACTTAAGTAAAGAAAAGACTAATGATTATATTATTTACTAGAAATGGGACACACTTACACGAAGAAGTACAGAGAAGAAATTAAAATCACTTAAGAGGCACCTGGGAGGGGCGCCTGGGTGGCGCAGTCGGTTAAGCGTCCGACTTCAGCTAGGTCACGATCTCACGGTCCGTGAGTTCGAGCCCCGCGTCAGGCTCTGGGCTGATGGCTCGGAGTCTGGAGCCTGTTTCCGATTCTGTGTCTCCCTCGCTCTCTGCCCCTCCCCCGTTCATGCTCTGTCTCTCTCTGTCCCAAAAATAAATAAACGTTGAAAAAAAAAAAAGAGGCACCTGGGAGGCTCAGTTGGTTAAGTGTTAGTCTCTTGATCTCGGCTCAGATCATGATCTCAAGGTTTGTGAGTTTGAGCCCTGCCTTGGGCTCTGCATTGGTGGCATAGAGCCTGCTTCAAATTCTCTCCCTCTTCAGCCCCTCCTTCAGTCACTCGTGCATGCGCGCTCTCTCAAAATAAATTTAAAAAATCACCTAACATGCTGCCACTGAAATAGTCATTGTTTTGATGAATATCATTCCAATGTGCATACTAGGTTGTTTGATAGAGGTATTTAATATAAACTTTCTTACATTTATAGAAAAGGCTGTCTGCCTCTCACCTCTTCCACTGGTCGTAGCACTGCCCCTCCAACCTACCTCTTCCACCAATAGGATGGCCCCCACCCCCCACCCCCACACTGGAGTCTCAGCAACATAACCACTCATTGTCTTTAGAGATTTCTCCACGATCTGACTCCAAACTCTAATATTCTGGATGAGCTTCTGCGGGTTTACTCTAGTTTGTCAACGTCCCTTTGAGAACCTGTCTCCCCATCTGGAGCAGAATCATTCAGGTGCAGTCTGAGGAGGGCAGAAAGCAGGCAACTGTCACCACCCTGCATCGGCCACTACATGGGCTGTCCTGGAAGCTGTGGCCATACACACAGCCCCTCCCCAACCCCACCCGCAGTCTTTCACACATTGCTGCTGTTAGCCCAAATCACTCTCACCCTGTTTTGTGTCAAATTTTAAAGTGAAAAATACCCATTTTACTAAAAGTTTCATATAGGACGTAGGGAAGAGGGTGATGTCACACAGAGCACAGTATTTCTTTTTTTTTAACGTTTTTTTAATTTATTTTTGGGACAGAGAGAGACAGAGCATGAACGGGGGAGGGGCAGAGAGAGAGGGAGACACAGAATCGGAAACAGGCTCCAGGCTCCGAGCCATCAGCCCAGAGCCTAACGCGGGGCTCGAACTCACGGACCGCGAGATCGTGACCTGGCTGAAGTCGGACGCTTAACCGACTGCGCCACCCAGGCGCCCCCAGAGCACAGTATTTCTATTTAACACCACTGAATAGGGTGCCTGGATGGCTCAGTCGGTTGAATGTCCAACTTTTTTTTTTTTAATGTTTGTCTATTTTCGGAGAGAGAGAGAGAGACAGAGTGCGAGCAGGGGAGGGGCAGAGAGAGAGGGAGACACAGAATCAGAAGCAGGCCCCAGGCTCTGACCGGTCAGCACAGAGCCCAATGCAGGGCTCAAACCCAAGAACTGTGAGATTATGACCTGAGCTAAAGTCAGACGTGTAACCAAGTGAGCCATCCAGGTGCCTATGAATGTCCAACTCTTGATTTTGGCTCAGGTCATGATACCAGGGTCATGGGATCGAGTCCCAAGTCAGGCTTCAAGATGAGTGTGGAGCCTGCCTTGGAATCTCTCTCTCTCTCTCTCTCTCTCTCTCTCTCTCTCTCTCTCGTGCACTCTCTCTGCCCCCCCCCATTACACACTCATATTCTCTGTAAAAATAAAAATAAGAAATAAAAACACCACTGGACAGAGTTACTATCTCCTCAACATCCCTCTTCAGCTGGCTTCCAGCTAGGGTGGACCCAGGTCTTGAGGGGCCTGAGGCTTCTAGTTTGATGGGCTGGCCTTAAGGAAAAGAACACGGGGGCATCTGGCTGGCTCAGTCAGGAGTGTGCAATTCTTGATCTGGGGGTCATGAGTTTGATGTGCGTTATCCCACATTGGGGGCAGAGATTACTTAAAAAGATACAAAATTAAGTATGAAATAAATAATTAGAATGTGAAAATAAATGACAACAAATTACAGATGTCAGTCAAAAAGCTGACAAAGATCCAAATATATCAAAGCCTAGAAGAGTAACAATATCTTTATGAATTAACTGTCTGTATTACTTTCTACTTACTGCATATTCTTTGATTACTTTTTCATATGACAATGATTTTGTAATGTTTTCTTTGGAAGGAATAGAAAAATAATTGTCTTTCCTGTAGCAAACAAGGGAAATTTATTCTTTTTGTTACCAATAAGTGGGATGCATGCAAGTTCAAACACAAACGTGCTCTTTGTAGCACTGCCACAGGTTTATGCCCTACACTAGGAATTCTGATTGGCAAATTATATTTTGCACAATTTTCATCAAAAAGACTTCCATGATTCCATGTGTCACATAACTGAGTATATCCTGACGGGAGAGGACTTCTGTTTTGACGAGGCATCACTGAAAGTCAAGCCCTCCGTTTGCAACGCCACAAACCTGATGATTGGAAGGATTTTCCATAGACCAGTTTCAGGCTCTGTATGTTTCAAACCTCATTTCTCCTCTACCAACTACATGCTTC